ATGTTCATTGCAGCACTATTTACAGTAGCCAGGACATGGAAGCAACCTAAATGTCCATCAACAGAGGAATGGATAAAGAAGATGTGGTACATATATACAATGGAATATTACTCAGCCATAAAAAGGAACGAAATTGGGTCATTTGTAGAGACGTGGATGGACCTGGAGTCTGTCATACAGAGTGAAGTAAGTCAGAAAGAGAAAAACAAATACCGTATATTAACGCATATATGTGGAATCCAGAAAAATGGTACATATGAACCTATTTGCAGGACAGGAATAGAGACACAGACATAGAAAATGAACATGTGGACACGGTGGGGAAGAGGGGGTGGGATGAATTTGGAGACTGAGATTGACATATATACACTACCCTGAGTGAAACAGATAGCTAGTGGGAACCTGCTATATAGCACAGGGAGCTCAGCTGGGTGCTCTGCAGTGACCTAGTTGGGTGGGATGGGGGGTGGGGTGGGAGGGAGGTCCAAGAGGGAGGGGATATATGTATACATATAGCTGATTCACTTTGTTGTGCAGTGGAAACTAACACAACATTGTAAAGTAACTATACCCCAATAAAAAACAACAATAACAACAAAAACCAATTCAACAGGGCAACTCATTTTTTGAGCTGTATTTGTTAAAGTAAAAAATATATTAAAAAAAAAGGGAAGGCCCAGAGGTAACAACAGGTGCATATGTGGAGGAGTGAGGGGAGGCATTTGCCAACAATCAGAGAGCTTTCTTTTGTAACACAAGACTCAAGTGGGCAAATGTTTTCTTTTACAAAATCCTCCTCTGATCCCAGGAGGAACTTAATGATTTTCCTCTTGGAGAGCAGAGAAGCAGCAGTAATGAGTAGCTCTCAGTCAAAGGTAAGAACAATTATTTATTGAGCATCTGTTAAGGTCAGGGGCAGCACTAGGTGTCTGGGCCACACAATGATGGCCTGGACAAGGTCCTTGGCCTCCAGGAGCCCATCATCCAGGCTGCGAGAGATAAACTGCTGTCTACAAAACAAGGCAGAGTGAGTCAAGGGCCAAAGTAAAGTCACAGTGGTGCTATCCTGGCTTCAGGGTCCCAAATGCAGCCTCACTTGGGATGAATGACTGGGATCCATGTAGACGTGTTGCTGAAGCCAGCTGACAAGCTTGATAAGCTGATTTTTTTTCCAATGACTGAGACTTCTAGTCGTTTTGCAACACGTTCCAGGGATTTAAAATCTCTATATTCTATCTTGTTTGGATGGTTTTAAAACATTCAATTTTATGAAAGGAAGGATAACTTGTGACTTTTTTTTTTAACATCTTTATTGGGGTATAATTGCTTTACAATGGTGTGTTAGTTTCTGCTTTATAACAAAGTGAATCAGTTATACATATACATATGTTCCCATATCTCTTCCCTCTTGCGTCTCCCTCTCTCCCACCCTCCCTAAACCTGTGACTTTTGATTACCTACACTATTTGCTTGATCACTACCATCTTTTCAATCAGCAAAAATGACAGAAGATGGCACAAACGGTGTTATTCATAGAAGCAATGGGAGACAGCTTCCTAATATTTGCAGTTAGAGGTGTTGCCATAGCTTTTACCACTCTCAGAGCTTAACAGTGTGTCAGCTAATAATGCAGGCTTTTTCATAGAAAGTCTCCCACTTTTTTGAGTCCCATAATACTGAGCATTACGGATCCCTTGGATTGGGAATAATAAGCCTCAGGGTCCTCCTTAGTGGAGGAAAAGGATACAGGCATTATCAAAGGCCTGCCCTCTGCCAGGTATCACTGACTCCTAATACCCAGGCCCGCTCCCGGGTGTACGGGTGTAAAGCCAGAGTTAGAACCTAGATTTATCTTGTCTCCCAGGCATGTGATCTTTCCACCTGCCTACGCTAAGTGAGTGAAGCCACTGTCAGGTGTACACACTGTAAGTAGAACTGAGAGAGGGAAATTAACTAAGCGTCTAATGCTTTACATAGACACCCAGACTGCAGTAGTTGCCAGATCTGGTACCAAAATCAGGGGATCGGCTGAATCAGAAGCTGAAACCCTACAGTCTTCACTTACATTTCTGAATGTACGTGTGCCTCTCCCAACGAGTGATGCCATTAAATCGGTTTAACAAACTCGTTACACCCCATGCATTCGGTCTTTTTGTATTTCATAGGCACACAAATGAATCTGATTGTCACAGGTGGT